AAGTGTTACAACTGACCCACGTTACAACTATCCACGGTCTCCCCTACTTACTTTTGAACAAAACCAGGCTCTCTGCTTTCTCTACACGCAGTTCATATGCTAAACTAAAGTGGCTGACAGAAGCTTATTATTTATTTATGAGTAAAAATGTTAAACGTTTCCTTTCACGTGTCTCCTTTTTGTTGTTCATTTTGTTTTATATTCAACCTTTTACAGTTAAGGTTCATCTTTAACCTCCTAAGACCTGAACTCTTCCCCGACATGCATTTTTAATTTCTATTTGATATTTGGGCTGATTGGGACCTGATGAATGCAAAAACAAAGAATTACCAGATTTTTTTTTTTTTTACCTATTTTTTGTTTCTGAGAAAAATTAGAGCCACATATGAGAATATTCGTTTAAAATTTAAATAGAACAGTAGCAGCACAATGTCCTCGTCAGTGGATATCAGGCCTTTGAAGAGCAAAATTGAGTATTTTGGTCTAAATAACCCAAAATGTGATGTCCACATATGTGGACGGCAGGTGCTAGGAGGTTAAAGCTTCTGCAGAGATCTCACTTGTAGCATGGAGATGCCCCCTCGACGCCGGTGAAGCCAAAGTGCCCGTGTTTGCCGCCGAGTCGTGAGCCTTTCCTGTGTTTGAACTCGCAGCAGGAGCTCAGCCGCTCCACCTGCAGCCCGTTCAGGAAGAAGGTCAAGCTGAAGGGGAAGCCTCTGTGTCGACGTGAAATAAACTGGAAAGTTTCTGAAGCAGAAATGATGAGGCACAAAAAGCCATTCTGAATGGTTTGGGGTATCTGTCAGTATATATTTACATATACAAATCCAAAAAACACAACCCGATTTCACACACTGACCCCCTTCATGAAGCTTTCCCTTGTACACACACAGGTTCTCTCCTCCACAGTGCTGCTGAAACACTTTGACGTCGTCCCTCGTGTCGGTCATGTCGCTGGAAAGACGCACCGTTTTGCCAAAGTACACCATGTTGACACACACTCTGCTTTGGTGAACGGAGCTCCTCAGCAGTGGGGCGTCCTGGGTGGAAGAAGTGACGCGTTTTTGGTGTGTTATTTACTGAATAAAAATATTTTACATTTATATTTGAACTTCCTGATCCAAAATCTGATGTTAG